CTCTCATCTGAAACAGCAGCTTTGGAGTAGATGTTAGAAAAAAACAACCTGTGTATAAGATAAAGATGGTGGAGGTAATAAAAACAAGCTAAACTATTAAGTTACATGGGCATAAAAATTAAATATTCCCCACGAGAACCTACCTGTGAATGACCTGCTGCCTTTTTTCCCCACTTACTTCTTTTTCTGGTACTAGGGATTAACCCAGCTCAGCTTTCTCACAGCATTGCAGTCAAAGTACAAACCAGCAACTGCCATCAGTACCAGGCAAGTGCTTCATCTTACATCTTCCTCCTACACTCACTGAGCTACACCATACAAATAGGTATGTTTATTCATCTCTTTACCCCCAGTACCACACTTTATATTAAATGCTTTTTTCATTCCACTTCCCAATGAGTTAGAGAGCACACAAGTTGCATCACACTCTGTCTTTATTTCTTAGAGGCAGAGCCTTCTACCATCCTCTTCTAAGAGCTTTTTCATCCCCTGGAACACTTTATTCCCTCTTCTTCACAGCTGCTTCAGTCTACAGTAGGATTTTTGAGCATGTGAATGTGTTGAATATTGCCAAGGAATATAAGAATCCTAGCGTGTCTTGTCTTTACTGGAATTGCCTCCATCCAATGGTGGATCATGGTTGCTTTAGGATTAGAAAACACAAATAAGAAGATGATCCCCTGTCATTGTTCAGGCTTTCAGGGACGAAAAAGACATAACATGGAACTATTAAAGAATAAGTCTAACAAGAATAAAACACAAACTAGGTTGCAACTACCTAATAGAAACAAAATGTACTAAAAATGTGGTAAGAGTGAATTTTCAAATATAATAAATGGAAAAGCTAACATCAATATATGGAAAAAAAAAATCCTAAGTAGTAGTATTATTAAACAACAAAAAGTTGTTTACAGGATCTAAATTATTGGTGTGACCCCCATAACTGATTCCATAAATAACTGCTCCTGTTTCTATTGTCATTCAACATGTTGTTGTTTTGCTGGCTTCCCAGCAAATGTTTTTATGGGATTTATTGCCAAGGAGCACCCTCTCACTGCCTGACTCAAGGTCCTCAGTAACTATTTCACTGTTGTGAAATCTAATGTGAAGGCCAAACACTACCAGCTCACTGCATACCACATTGTAGTAAATTGCTTGATATATTTAATACAAATGACAAATTACATGACATTTTTTACTTCCATGTCTTTAATTATCCTGTCTTTCAAAATATTTTAAGAAGTCTTACATCACACAGTCAGTCTTGAAAGCCACAAATTTATGGCTATGGGCTGATTTCATCATTTATTTCCTTCCTTCTTGTAAATTTCAGTTCATACAGCTTTTTGCCTAGATTTATTATTTTACAGTCATATGGAAGACCTAAGATGTATGTGCGTCTATTTGTAAACACAGAATATGCGACAAATATGAAGTGTTATATGGGGGGGAACCAATCCTGATTTTGCCTATAAAAAAATGGCTTCCTAGTAATGATAATGTTGAGGATAAAAAATGAAATTCTAAAATAGTCCAATGAAAATATTCACTTAGCACCAAGCAACAGTCAAAAAGGAAACGACTGGACAAAACACATCAAAAAGCATTACTGATGCTCTTGTACCCTTCAGGGAAGGGAAGAAGGTACAAGCTCAGGAATGGTCAAGTTGATAACACGTTTTTTTAATGTTCTATATAATTTACATTAACTATGAAAGTTAGAAAGAAAGAAACTTAGAAAGGAATCATAATTTAAGCCTTAACTTTAAAAAGTCAAATTCCTTGCCTCATATCTGGCACATTTGACAAACCCAGAAGTGCATGGTACGTAAGAAAAACTCTTTTTAACCTCAGTGTCTGTATGATGTACACAGTAATCTCACAGATTAGTGGGCTAGAGAGGAAAGTAGGTAGGTAAGCACATTACTACTCCATGTATAGGATGGTTCCTCAATCTCACATGCTAGTCCATACTTCCACATTTTCATCATGCACTCCCACTTCAGCCTTCACTGAATTTATGCAGTTCTGGCACTGATTCCCAGTACAGTTTTAGGTCACACACTGGCAGAGAACAAAAATTCACCATAAGGAACAGCTGCTTCAAAAGACACACTCAAATATGCAGCCTCAATTTTCCCTCATGCAAGTCACGCACATACACAAGCATCAAGTGAACTGAAATGAGAGGTTAAGGTTTGTGTTTAAAACATGACTCAGAGAACTTGAGATAGTTTTAGTCTGCTGCTACACACTAGAGCCAAAAGAATAATTACAGACTAGAAAGGAGCTGAAGAACACACTTGGATATTACAGGTCTGCGTGACATAAGGTGCATAAAGCAGTCAGGATTAAATGTCAGTCTTAGCGGTGATTTCTTTATGTCTGTGATTGCTCTGATAGGCAATGGGCTTTAGTAGCTTTCCTTAATGTTAAATTACAAGAGCTGAGGGAGCAGAGACAGCTACAAAGTAGGAAAAAAAAAAACCCCAACCAAACCTAAACCTGACAAACCTCATGAACATTCTTGTAATTTTATGTATCTTAACTCTGACATAATTGCCCCATTGAAATCCTTTGGTATATTACTGCAGATTACCTAGGGACTGAAGGAACATGCTACAAAGCATGCAAAAGCATTTAAAGAAATTCCAGTTACACTGGCTTCCAAAATGCTCCAGTATTAGCCTGTGTATGATCTTGTACATATGGTTCTGTAATGTTCAAACTGTTGCAATAACGCATATACACATTCAGAATAAGTGCTCAGCCAGTTGTTGCTAATGCATTAAGCAATAATGCTAATCTCAAAAAAATACGACTTCATTTGGTACCATGCTTCAAGTAATTGATAAAAAATGGCCTTCAGCCTTAGCTCTCAAAACAATGGAGGTTACCTGGTATAACATCACACAGTCTGTACAATTATTTACAATGTCTCAAGAAACATTCATAGAATAGATCATTCACTGAAAAACATCCTTTTGCTTCATGCAGTTAGCTGTAATTAATTCTCCCTAGATTTTTAACCAAACTGTATAAAAGATCAAACGATTTTCCTCAGGTAGAGCTGCAATTCTTGAAAATTTCTCAAGATAATGCACATTTTCACATCGTGAATAAATGAAATTAACAACCTTTTCCATCAGGATTCTGCTCATGCTCTTTTTTCTTTTCCCTATACAGTTTTCAGTAAAATGTACCATCATATTTTATTTCATCAGTCCACAGCCTGTCTTTTTTTTTTTAATGTTTCCCCTTAGGTGTTTATTTCATTGTTCTCCTAGGTCTCCTCACTGCAGTTAAACCAGAAAACCTGAAAACCTTGCTTAAAGGTGATCAGAACATGTGGAAATTCTCCTTCCCACTCCCCAGATGACACCTCACATTTGAATCTCATTTGGGAATTTCTTCTTGGGTTGTTACTATCTCCACCCTTGTTTGGTAAAGCCTAGGGGGGCACAAATCTTAAGTGAAAAGCTACGTAAGACATCACATTTCATTCAACTCATTTGGCCCATTAAAAAAAAAAAATTAAATACGTATTTAATCCAAGATTGGTCAGAACAGATGACCTGGATGTTGAGCAGCCCTTTGCATCTTCAGAAAAGGTAAAGTAAAGGCACAATGCGGACAGCTCTTCCTGGCTACCTTAATAGTACATTTTTGCCTTTAAAGGGTCACTGTGAATGGTAGCATAATATGGTTAGTTCAGCCTCCCCTGCTCATGAAGTCCTTGAACATTACATTGAAATGGGTGGCTGGAATCAGGGGCACCTTGGGTGCTTCCTTATCCTTATACTTTCTTGTACTTAAGACCCAAAACTGCATCCCCCCTACTTGCCACACTGCACTTAGTTTTATGAAGTCATTCATGATATACTCGCTACTTACTCCTGATTGGGGCTAGTTTTACAATCAATGCATTTATTACATTCTCTTATTCTTCTCTGTGAACCGTTTCCTTTGGTAACCCTTTATCCATGGTACCCAGTCATCTGCCTTCTACTTCACACCAAACATTTTCTTTCTCAATTTAAAGGTTTCCAAAATGATTTTCAGGCTAGGGGTAGACAATACTAAGGGAAAACATGAACATTCTGAGATAATACAAGGACTGCCTAGAAGCTCATCAGAATTTAGGGAGGGGAACTAAACACAAAAACTTTTTCTAACTAAGTTCTTACTGCTTACATATTATTCAAGGACAACTAGTGAAGAGCTAGTGCTAGTACTGTTTTTAAAGAAGCAGAGAAATGTGGCAATGCCAGTACTCCTTCCTCCTTTAGCATGAGGAAAAAGAAAGTTAAGAGAACAAGTAGTGATCCATATTCTCTGGCTGTATAAACTGAGTGCAACACCTGTACTTACTAAGGATTCCCAGGTTCAGGACATGTTGACAGGACAATTGAATTGTTTGGATTGTGTGATTTTTAGGAAGGAATCTGTATCACAAACTCTTACATCGCATGTGTATACAACTCATTCATTTCAACCACAGAGAAGTACAAGGCTGCTTTGGAATACAGACTGAAGAGACTACATGAGAAAGCCCATTTTATGTAAATTCATCTGTCTCACTGCACATTCCCATACAACCAATATGAGAAACATGAACTAATTATATAACATTTGCATAGAAATTACATAGTTTGGGGTTCTGTGGCATGATTCCCTGTGTGATCTCAGGCCAGTTTCTGAACCTCTCCAAATCTCTGCTCCTTGTTTGCAAAGCAGATTAAGATTAGCTATGTGGGATGGGGTGAGACTTAATTAACTCAAGTTTATAAAGAGCTTTCTGATCTTCAGATTCTATGTAGAAGAACTAGAAAAATCCATTTAAGAAGCAAAGAAGCATGTAAGCCCACATCTACACAATAAATGTTTGGTGTATCAAACTGATGCAGAAAAATTGTACTAGCATTTCTCTGCAGAAGGAGCAAAAATTGCATTAGCAGACAGCATAAAATATGTATGTTAAAAATAACTAATTCACTTACTTCTTCCTAATTTCTAGGTCTGAAACTGGAACACATCTCAGGCCAGCTCCCAATACCATGAGGGATGATGTTAGTAACACAGTTACCCTCAGACCTAAGATGAAAAAACAGTATGTTAGAAGTGAAGTCAGCAATGTTACAAAACCAATATTGCCTAAATATATATATATATTTACATGCAGTCTCACAGAAGTAATATGTATCTCTTTCATATCATAAACAATTTGGTGTTGGTACCAATTACAAATAAATTATGAAACCCTGTGTCATTTTCTATACTTAATACTCCAGAATTACAAAGGCTTACTTGTAGCATACTATTGCACAGGACTGTACCCAAAATCTTATACAAATTCTTGGAAGTGGAAGGTAGCAATAAAAGTATCATCAAAACGAAGAGTATTCCCTTTAGCACTAATGCTATCAGGAATATGCTCCAGTGTGTGATCTGAAGTCTAGGAAGATTCAATGACAAATCTGTACATTCTTTTCCAACTACTTAATTAACACAGACACAGTACTGTTATTATTTTCTTCCATAATGCAGGTATCCATTTCATCTTGAAGAAATAACCATTTTTTCAGGGTAAAAAAAAGTGCAAGTTATTTTCTTTTTCCAGTCCTTGCAATTAGGCCAAGTTTTCGCTGTGCTCAGCTCAAATATAGTTGCAAATACAGTACATCAGAAAAAAGCTACAATTGACCGATGCCTTGAATATGTTTTTTCCTCATACTGCAATTCTCAACTGAGAAGCATTTAGATTAGAAACAGCTTTATCTTAGTGCTGCAATTCCTTTGCCAGCAGTTTACTTGCTGCTGCTAAGGTGTTTCCATCAGCAGCAAACAAAAAGAGAAAGGTGAGAGCTGAGAGTCTTAACCTCCAGAATCTTGTAAAACACCAAAACCATGAATATGCACAATTAAAAACCACTGATACAGCGTATATCTGTGAAGCTGGAAAACTGAAACAATTTCACAGCAACAAATAGAAAATAAAGGTTTTCTGTGTTCTTAGCAGAACATAATAAAAACAATTAAGTGATAACAAACACCCAGCTTCTCTAAGGTTCAGGTGAAACTAGTAACTACCCAAAACACAGACAGATCAACAAGTTCCTACAATAACTCACTTAACAAAGAAACAATTTATATTCTTTCTAAAACTGCCAATTTTCAGAAGTGTTCCTTCTATGTTAATGACTCCAGTAATCAGTACAATTCAACCAGTAGTCACATTAAATACTTTGTCTCTATGTGAATTTAATGGGAGTTTTAGAGCATGTATTTTTCTAAAGTGAAATTTTAAAGTACAAGACACCTCTTGCCCTTATTGCAACAACTCTTAGCGAACTTCACTCATGCTGGACACCGCACAAACCAAACAGAAGAATGCTTCTCTCAAACAACCTAGCCCAAGACAACCCAAATAAAAAGGTTACAGGTTGTCTGAAATAGAAGTATGACTTCCTTTGGTATGGATTAGTCATTAACAAAAGGAATGCTACCTGCAATCCTGCAACTCTGGACACCTCATCCCTGATGCCCTGGAGAAGTACCATGAGAATGTCTGTTTCCTTGAAGGATTCCCAACACGCACCCAGACTTACTTGCTTGTCTTTGTGCTCCACCAGCACATGTTGCTGTTAAACTGGTTTTTCAAGTGTGTGTGTTCAGAGAGACCTAACTAAATGCCCGGACAACACAGCTGTTCAAAATCTTCATGTTCTCCTTGTTTTCTTGGCCACCACATGAGCCTTCATGCCATGCTTAACCCCATATTACCATGCTGTGTATATTGTGGGCCTAATTATTTGTATCAGGATCATGTATGAGATGCCCTTGCCTTTTCTCCTGGGAGATAAGTCTCTGTTAGCATTGCTTTTGTGCATAATGAGAACTTGTGCAAAACGGGAAACAGAATTCTATTGATGAAAAAAAAAAAAAATCAAAACACAAGTCTTTCAAAAATCTGAAGTTTTCCATTTGGAAATGCTGCTACAATGTTACAGGAAAGCTCTAGTAACATACATATCACCTTATTTTCCAGATAAACCACAGTCTTTTTGAATTACATTTCACAAAGCACAGCATGTCCTGCCTTTCAGGAGACACAAGGACGGAGACGGCCTGGAAGGTTCTGCTCATGGGGTACCACAGGAGGCACAGGCCAGGTGCAAGCCCAACACTAAGCAGGTATTATAAAGAAATTTAAGTTTAATCACCACAGGAAACATAAGGAATATTTCCAAATTAAAAAAAAACTTCTATTTCATTTTTAATTTTTAAAAATATCCCCCAAACAAAAAAAAAAACACAAACCAAAAAAAAAAAAGAAAAAAAAAGTTTTCATTTAAACCTGCAGAAAAGTTTCCTAAGAAAAACAACATGCAATTCAGTGAAAACCAAACTGGACGCTGAAGCTTTACCCCAGCCCTAAATTTAAGCTTATCTTCAATGTCAACCTTACATGTCTGGCAATTTCAAAATATAATTACCAGTTAAAGCCTCACAATCATATGTATCATTTGATCTCTTCAAACATTCTTTGAAGACCTTATCTTGAACACTATACACTGTAATGCACCATTTTTAAATGTTTTGATTGCACATTCTTTCACCTTTTTGGGTGTGTTTTGTGGTTTTTTTTTTTACACACCCCTAAAGATTCTTTCAGTTAAAGCTCCATGTTGAAAATGATGACACCGAAGTGAAAAAGTAAAAGACTGTCAGACAAGCAGCGTTAGACATTTTATTTGCTAATTACATGATGTATTTCTACCCTCTAAGCACCTTTATCTTCATTTTGCCTCACATTTTAACTCTGAATCTCCCCTCCTTTCCACCTTTGTTAGAAACTGGTCTTTAATAGTATTTTATAATTATTTCAGTATTTTTGCTTTGAGCATTGCAGTGGTGCTTAATCTGAATTGAACATCTTGTATTACTCTACAAGGCGCACCCGAGTGTTTCAGATAACAGCATACATCATGGGGATAATAAATCTAAGTAATCAAACTAGCCTGAAAAAAAAAGCCCATGAACCCCGCAAGAAATTATTTCTCTATTTTAAAAGATCTCAGCAATTTATACAACCAAGATTCTGAGTGGATGTAGTTAACTTCGTTAATTTTACCCTGTAAATGCAAGAGATAAGGAGAGGGGGAGTGATATGCATTACAGTTTATTAAAATCCACAATCCAGTCCCCTTCCATCAGGGGATTTCTGACACATGTCTGGAAAAGGAAGAAAGTCTTTTAAATGGATTTTCTGCCAATGGAGGAAGTTTTCTGTTCTCTGGGGCCTTCCTCATCAGCTGCTCATTCCCACCCTGTTCTTGCAGGAGTTCTCTGGGTCCCCCAGGTGGCACTGACTGTTGAGCAAAGTGCGGCCACATTCAGAATAGCCAAACACCATTTGACAGCAATAGAAAAGTCTGAGCCAGCCACAGAAATTGAGTCAGCAATAAGAAGACATAGATTACCATTTATGAGTGAAACGGTCGATATTGTTCAACTGCTTAACCCTCCTGTGGCTAATAATACAGTCTGCTTTACAACTTCAGCAGCCCATGCTGCATTTACTGGGTTTTATTTATTTTTAAAACAACTATCCCCAAACTCCTGCCACTATTAGAGATTTAACACAAACTCTCAACCCACAATCCTCTTAACTCTCCTGAAAAAAACACACCTTTTTAATCTTGCCAACACCATATTGTATTAGTAAGCCTTAATGATTACCTGTATTGGCAGGGTATGTTGATCCGATCTGGCCCCAGGGACACTTCTAGCTGACCCACTAACTTCCTTTCCCCTCTGCTGCTGAGAACGCAGCTGCTGCACACACACCATGTGATGAACCCAGGGTTCCCACCACACACAGCCCAACACAGAAAGCAAGCAAAACCCAACCATGTTACACGACCTCATGCAACAGCAGAAGGCAGTGGCTGCCAGTGCACCCAGTGCCTCTTCAGCTCCCCCACAGCAATATCAAGCAACGGCATCCCATATGTAGGTGTTGCATTCCCCAAAACTCTTCCAGCACACCTTACTTTCAACATTCATCTCAAAGCACATTAAAAGAAAATGCATACCCCCTCCACTGCATTACTGACTGGAAACCAGCAAGTGATTTATTATGCCTAGTTTAATACAGAATTTAATAAAAGATGTTGTACAGCTACAATTAACTCCTCATTCCAACTATTTATCAGTCTGTCTTAAAAAGAACATGATTAAAATGCTTAATGCTTTTGTGAGCTTTTGGGAAGTATGACCATTCCTTCTCTTACCTGTCACCCATTACCATAGAACACGTGACTGACAGACTATAAAAATCTGTAAAACTCAAATCCTTACTCACACAAAACACACATCCAAGTCAAAATTGTTTTCACATCGAGAACTGCAAGTTTCTATTTCTGCTGGGAAGTTTCTATTTCTGCTACCTAGGGGCAACAAACTCCCTGTGCATTCCCCTGGCCGAGGCCAGAATACAGAAGCAGCCCAGTCACTGCTACAGACCCATGGAGAGCAACACAGTTCTAGTTCAGAGCATCACAAATGGCAGATACTGTTTGGGCTTGGTTTCCACATCCCTGCAATGATCTTAGGGGGAGAATTCCAGCTGGATGTGCAGAACAGTCAGTTTTCACCTTTTTGCTAAGACTAATGGAAGTCTGGCCAGAGGAGAGGCTTCAGAAGGCTGGATTTCCACCACTGCATGGTGGCAGTGGATTTCCCTTATACAGCTCACACACCCTGCTCTCAGATGCAGTAGCATTTGAGGGGTTTCCTTCCTTCAACTGCAGATTACCAAAATAAGTCCTCACAAATACAGACTACAACAAGGCCCTAATTAGAAATTAGTGACATCAGCCTGCTGTGCATTTTCAGTTTTTAAAGACCAGGCTGGAAGCCAGAGCAGTCCCTTCTGACACAGAACTGAGAGCATTTCCTTAACTACTCTACTATTATTTTGACTAGCTAAATATAAAAATTATAAAATCCTGTTAACCCACACATACCAGGAAATAAACCCCTCCAATTTCAACAGCCATTACAATAATTCACTGTTAAATTGTGCTTTC